CCTAAATGCCTGTCTCACCATCAGGGAGTGCCTGCCCTGGGGAGCAGAGAGGCCAAGGCAGTGTATTATTCTTTGTGACTCACAGTGCTAAAACGGGAGAATAAGAATGCATCCTTGATCACATTATTTCTTTCTTCTCAATTTGACTTAGAGCCCAGAAAGCTGATCTGTGGCATAAATGAAGTGTGAGGTCAGACTTGAGCTTGTGGGGAGAAGGCAGGGCAGACAGCTGGATTATATACCAATAATCCACCAACAGTCCTAACCTTGTCTCTGTCAGCCCTTTTTTCCCCCTTGCCCTCCCAAGGGGGAAAAAAGATATTTTCTGGTGGGGAGGCAGGGTGGAGGAAGCATTGGGGATGCAGTCATTTGCGCTACTGGCCTAGTAAAAGTAGCCCCAGACTTTTAGCTCCCAGAGGACAGTCGTCATGGCAACCTTGGGATCAAGGAGCAGACTCTCCTTAGGCCATTGTCTGGAGTACAAAGTCCCTGTTCAGCTTTCGACAAGCTGATTTAAAAAAACACATCCAGCCAAATAGATACAGACACCGATAGACTGGTACTCACATACATAGAAAAGTTTTTAATCATACAGCAGCAGTCAAGTTCCTTCCTACAGCTTTTAATGATCCAGTTCACCGAAACCTCATTTTTCTCTTCACCTGTGGGAACAAGAAATACTCTGATGCCAGCAGAGACAGCCTACCCGTCACCAAGAAGCTGTCACAAAGCCTTGCACGTTCCTGCATTCTTGAAACCCAGCTCCTGGGCACCACCACAGCCCTGGTTTGCTGCTGAAAGTAAGGCCTGCCCCCGACGGGTGTTAGGAGGACACAGCATAATGGAGGACATTTTGTGGCTTCTTAGCCGGTAGCTGTCAGATCTGCTGCTGACCCGAACCAGTCTGCCTTTCCTCGGGTATCCAGGCCCAGGGCACCCAGACAGGAAAGAGGCCTCCTGAGACTAAGCGCGTGTAATGTCAATGCAAAATTCTATGAGGAAACTTACGGCTTTATGAATTTACTTGAAATAGTAAAATATAAAGAACTGGCAGCTTGACTGGCGTTGAAGCCAGAGCTTCTGGCTTCAGGCCAGAGACGTATAGAAGCTCAGAGGAGGTCCCTTTGCTGAGGCTCAGCCTCTAACTGGTCCTTCTCTGGCCACCTCAGGACACAAACCACAGTATAATACTAACCATAATTTACTGTGAACCTACACTGTGCCGACCACTTTACTGGATGCTTCACATACATTATTTCTTTGTGACAAGGTTGGTTATTCCCATTTAACAGATGGACAAAGTAAGGCTAGAAGAATATAAATTACTTGCCCAAGACCATCCGGATGCCAGGAAGAAATGTCGATTCTCCCGAGTCTTTCTGCCATCAAAGCCTGAGTCTTGACTCGTTATGCTACTGACTTTCACCAAAAGGAGGGGCAAGGAGCTGAAGTCCTCATTTATTTTGGGTTCCCATATGTTCAGACCCTAAACTAAGACATCTCCCACAGAAAGTCAGGACACAATGTTACGACGAAAAGTATAGAACTCTCAAAGACAAATAGATTCATGAATTGAAAGTAGGTTGGTTGGGGTTCCATGTGGGTGGTAGATAATGGTTTGGGGATTGGGCTTGGGTTATTTGTGTGTGTTTGCTTTGAGGTAAACACCAAGGCTCGATTTGTCTCTTCCTAACATTTAATGTAGAGCCAGAATTCTCCTAGCAGTTCAGGCCAAAGGAAATGGGCCTGTTTTTTCTAAACCTGAGAAGTCAGAGTATTTATTAAAGTTGGTCAGACACTGACACTCCACACCAGGGCTCCTCTGAATACTTGACAGGGCTGGATGTCAGAAGGTCTAATTTGTTAGAGAACACAGAGAATCTCCAAGATGCCGGCCAGTAGATAGTGTCATGTTAGTTCACTCCCAGAAATCCCTACCTATCGTCCTCACAACAAACCCTCGGTTGGCTCACTAGCTGGAGGAGAAATAAGACAGGCATTTCCGAGCAATATGGAAGTTTTTTTTCCCTTGTGCTGACTCTGAGGCTAAGGACTAAAGCACTAGCATTGGGGCTGGGCAGACTTCAGATCAGTTCCCAACCTTGAACTCGATAACTCTTGCTCTGCGGTGTAAAGCAGTTATTTTACTTTTCTCTTTATCATGTTATTGGATTTGATTGAAAGGAGGGACCTCCAGACTACTCCAGAGCACCATTTACAGTGCGGTCTAATGGACATGTACCAAGCGGTACATGACTGCCCTGCTAAACCTATCCGGGGGGGTGGGATAGGAAGTCCACCTAACAGTGCTCCCTCTCTTTTCCTAATCTCCGTTCTGTTATGCTCAGGTCAAGAACTATACATCATTGGGTGCCTGGGTGGCTCAGTCGGTTAAGCAACTGCCTTCGGCTCAGGTCATGATCCTGGAGTCCCTGGATCGAGTCCCATATCGGGCTCCCTGCTCGGCAGGGAGTCTGCTTCTCCCTCTGACCCTCCCCCCTCTCATGTGCTCACTCTCTCTCATTTTCTCTCTCTCAAATAAATAAATAAAAATCTTAAAAAAATAATAAAAATACCACCATGTGTCAGCCACTGGGCCAGGCCCTAGGGCTAGAGAGACAACTGAAACAAGGTTCTTCCTGTCCAGACACTCCCATTCTAATAAGAGGGACATAGACAGGTAAATATAATTGCAATGAGGGGAGGGTATGAGGCATATAATATTAAAAGTATGCAGAAGGGGGGCGCCTGGGTAGCTCCGTCGGTGAAGCGTCCGACTCTTGATTTCGGCTCAGGTCATGATCTCAGAGTCGTGAGATCGAGCCGTGTCAGGCTCCACGCTCAGTGGGGAATCAGCTTGAGAGTCTCTCTATTCCGCTCCCTCTGCCCCTCTCCCCCACTCTCTCTCTTTCTCTCTCACTAAAGTAAGTAAATAAATCTTAAAAAGTGTGCAGGAAGAATGGAAATACTACAGACAACTGAGAAATTTATCATCTGACAGGGTCAAGGAAGACTTTCAGAGAAGCTGATACACAAATTAAGTTTCAAAGGATGAGCAGGAGTTCAGAGGTGAAAGTAGAAGAGATGGCAAAGGGAAGAAAGAGCGGGCAAAGGCACAGAAGCAAGAAACAGAGGGGCCTCGGGCCTTTTGTGATGCGGCTCCTCACCTGTCATATCCGCAGCATGGCTCAGAAGCATGGGGAAATCACCAGCTCTGACAGCTATTAAACAGTTCCTCTCTCCAGCTCCCTGCCTGTACCCCCATGGGTCCCTGACCCCCTTGCCTCAGGTCTTCTACTCCTAGTCCTGGCCTCTGGGTCCCTGGCCCCAGTGACATGTTATGGTGATACCTGCCTGACTTTGATCTTCTAGACTCTTGGGGGCATGAGCCACCCTGTGACCCGCAGCTATGAGGGAGAGACACTCATCCTTCCACCATGCTCTGTAGTACCCTAAAAGCCAGGCCAGCCCAGCCAGGGGCCAGACACATACAGGGATCTGCACCTCGTCTACTAGAGCTAGAATAAAAAATAAAAGTGGGAGAGAGACGTGGCAGGAGACAGTCCTCAAGGTGGGCAGCAGACCAATCTGATTCCTGCTAAAGGCTGGACTTTATCCTGCAGACTTGGGAAGCCACCAAAGGCATGATGCAGGGGCCTGGTAGAGTCTGCTTTGCCTTCCCTGGGGTTACTCTGTTGGTTACTCACGGCGGTTGTATCAGAGGAAGACTAGGAGCAAGGGAAAAAATCGACACAGGAGTCTGTTGCAATAGTCCAAGCAAGACTTGAGAAGGGGAGAAAACCATGTTTCCCTGCCACTCACTGCTGGGGCACTCAATCAGCATCTCCTGGGGGGGGGGGGGGAGTGGCAGGAGAGAGCTGGGGTCCCTTTTAATCAACTTTGTGACTCCACAGCTGTCCATCGTGGCTCTGATTCTTACATTGGGGGGCTGCCTCCTCCTCTCTTTCCTTCTTCTTCTGCCTCCCTCCCTCTCTCCCCTGCTCTGCCTCTTTCCTCTTCCTCCCTCCCCCTCCCCCTCTCCCTCTCTCTGACACACCCTGGAGAGATATGCCCTGCCTCCTGCCTCTAGCTCAAGCCTCCCTGATGGGAGAAAATGGAAAAGTAAAAGAGAAAAGCAAGCCTGAACCATAAAAAAACAACTGAAGAGGGGCGCCTGGGTGGCTCAGTCTGCTAAGTGGCTGCCTTTGGCTCAGGTCATGATCCCAGGGTCCTGGGATTGAGCCCCATGCCCCCTGCTCAGTAGGGAGCCTGCTTCTCCCTCTCACTCTGCCCCTCCCCCCCCACTCATTTTTCTCTCTCTCTCTCAAATAAATAAATTCCTTAAAAAAAAAAAAAAACTGAAGAGCAATCAGCATGTGTCTGTGAGAGGCAGGGATGACCTGGAAGAGCAGGATCCTTGCCACTTTACAACAGAAGCTGGCAACAGGGGGACCAACAAAGGTTTGATCTTTCCTGCGTCTGGAAACTCTGCGGTGCTCCACAAATATTAAAAACAACTTTTGTTATAGACTTCATCCCCTCGGAGACTGCAGGCAGAAATCACAACCCTCTCCAACGATCTTGCCCCCAGACAGTGGGAAATAGAGACCCCACCGAACAGAACCCTCGGGCCCATGTCCCAGCCTCCCTAAGACCATCCATCACCTTCAACTTGCCCAGAACTGTCTTCAGTGACTGTCCCAGGTCACAGCAACCTGTTTACAAACATCTAGAATTCCCAGGCACTTTTAGGACAAGGGACCTGAGATGTGTCCAAGTGGGCAGCAAAGTCTTCTCGAAGAGAAGCTGTTCCTCCAGATCTATTTATGCCCATGTAAACACTTGCCAAGGAAACAAGGCATGTGGGCATGCGCTGGCCCCGCAGGCCCTTGGGTTGCTGCAAAAGGCAACTGGAGAGTCACATGTCATAACAGTGGAAAGTACATATGCAACTATTCTTAGCCCTGGAATGTATACACTGTCTCCTTGCCCAGTGCTTCTTTCCCGAAGTTCTAGAAAACTGCGAAAGCACCGTTCGCATAAACAAATCCAGAACTCTCCCAAGACAAATCATTTGCCAACTGAAGGAAAGGCCTAGGTTTATTGTTTTACTTGGAGCCCGAGGTGGAGGCTCTCCGGAGGGACCAGCCGGACCAGGCATCAGTGGATGTCACCGCGGCAAACCAAGGTAAAGATCTCTAATGCTTAATTCTTCTACAGGTAGACTGCCGGGTGTCATCAGGAAACCCTGCCCAGAGTATTGTTTGGTCTCTGCTTTCTCTTTGTCACATCTCCAAAACAAAACCCCAAAGACTCTGTAAAATCATGTTTTAAAAAATAAATTGCAAAGGCCCATTTTCATCCTTCAGTACTGTCTCGTTACCAGAGGGCCACGCCCCTAGAATGACTCCTGGGGGAATGACTAACAGCCAGAAAGATGCTTACACGAGTTTACTAAATAACATATGCTGAGAAGCTGGAGCAAGGCTCACGGATTTGGGCTGGTCAAATGCATGGACTGTCACCTTGCTTCAGCCCCTGACCATCAGGTAACTTCCAACAATGTTGGTGGTTCTTTTTTTTTTCTTCTCAGATTATCTGAAGATGCTCTTTGCTTGTTACCTTTGGGAGTAATCATAACCAAAAAGAGAGGTGTTGGCTGTGAGGTCTGGGGTATAGGTGGCCTCTCTTTCCAATCTTCACTAAGCAACCTTCTTGGCAATATCCACGAGCATCTTAGTGAATGGACATAGGTGCTCTGAGTCTTGGAGACACCACAGCTAAACCCTTCAGCACATGCTTCCCCTTGGGACCTCTCCCCCTCCTTGTAGGATGGACAAGGAGTTGCCAGATGGGCTGCTCTTCAAAGACCACGACTTCTCCTCTGACTTATTGAGGCAGCTCAATGGCTTCAGGCAAAACAGGATGCTGACTGATGTGAGCCTTTGTACCGGGACCTGTGAGGTCCCCTGCCACCGAAGTGTGCTGGCCTCCAGCAGCCCCTACTTCCGGGCCATGTTCTGCAGCAACTTCCGGGAGAGAAGCGAGGCCAAAGTCCAGCTGAAAGGCATCGACTCTGCGACTCTGGAGCAGATCATCTCGTATGTGTACACTGGGGAGGTGCACATCACGGCTGAGAATGCCCTGCCTTTGATGGAGGCAGCCTCCATGCTGCAGTACCCCAAGCTGCTGGAGGCCTGCTCCTCCTACCTCCAGAGCCAGCTGACCCCCAACAACTGCCTGGGCATGATGCGACTCTCTGAAATCTTAAGTTGTGAGACCCTCAAGAAGAAAGCCAGGGAGGTGGCCCTGACGTGCTTCACAGAGGTGGCTGCCTCGGCTGACCTGAAGGAGCTCTGTGCCTTGGAATTGAGAGACTACCTGGGGGATGATGGGCTCTGCGGGGAGGAGGAGAAGGTGTTCGAGGCCCTCATGGTTTGGATCAAGCATGACCTTCAGGCCCGGAAACGACACTTGCAGGAGCTGTTCAAGCAGGTCAGGCTTCAGTACATCCACCCGGCCTTCTTCCACCACTTCATCGCCAATGATGCCCTCCTGCAGTCCTCGCCCTCGTGCCAGACCATCCTGGAGATGGCCAAGAGGCAGATGTTTGCCACGTACAGCACCACCAGTGCCCCAGACCTCCATCCTCCATGGCATGTCCCCCCAAGAACCTCTTACCAAGATTTCCTCATCCTCTTGGGTGGGAGGAAGGACAACCAGCAGACCACCAGGGATGTTCTGCTGTACAACAGACAGACCAACCAGTGGCAGAACCTTGCCAAACTCCCGAACCGGCTGTACAAGGCCTCAGCCATCACCTTGCACCGTAGCATCTATGTGCTGGGAGGCATGGCTGTCGGGGCAGGGAAGAACGTGCCCAGCCACAATGTCTACATCTACTCCCTGAAGCTTAACCAGTGGAGGCTGGGACAGCCCATGCTGGTGGCCCGCTACTCCCACAGAAGCACTGCCCATAAGAACTTCATCTTCTCCATTGGGGGCATTGGAGAAGGGCAGGAGGTCATGGGCTCCATGGAGAGATACAACAGCATCTTCAACATCTGGGAGAGTATGGCCAGCATGCCGGTGGGGGTTCTCCACCCTGCGGTTGCTGTGAAAGACCAAAGACTCTACCTCTTTGGGGGAGAGGACATCATGCAGAATCCTGTACGCCTTATCCAGGTAAATGGCTGGTCTCTCCCATCATGGAAGTGCATGAGTGTACACCCATGCATGCACACGTCATGCGTGCACGCACATACGTGTACATGTGTGTGCACACACATGCATATACATGTGTGCGCGTACACATACATGGATACATGCATGCGTGAGTGCATGCACCCATACATATGACACACATTATCATTTGCAGAGGAAACATAAAGGAGGGAGGAAAGATGGAAGGGAGGAAGGAAAGAAGGAAGTTTAAATTCAGCAAGACTTTATCCATTTATGAATTTTTGTTGTGTAAGATTAACACATACAAAGGAATGTCAGATACAACCCCTGTCCACAAAGAGCTTATCTTTATTTGAGGAATAACATTAGTATGTCTAAAACTTCAAAAAAAATAAAAAATAAAAGTTCAAGCTAGAACACATTGAATGTCAGATAGTGAAGTTCTATAGGAATTCTGCAGACGCCTCTAACCCAATTCAGCAAGACCTTAGAAGAGGATTCCCAAGCTTTGGTCCACAGTCTGTTACCAAGTTCCTGGGAACCCAACCTCAGATCAGCTGAATCAAAATCTCTTTGTGTGGGGTCCTGACATATACTTGTTACAGACATCTCCAGGAGTTTCTAAGGAGTAGCCAGGTTAGGGAACCTTGACCTTAAATGATAGGTAGATGCTAATATCACTAGCAAGCTCTCTGAGAAGTGTTATTAATAGAGACCAAAATTTCAAAATATTAAGCATTTTATGCAAGTTCCAATCTCTGCAGCTCACGTAATGATATGAAAAACTTGAATAATGAGCCTGTCTTTAAAGATGATGCAGGAGATCCCTGGTCATTGCTTTGTTCATTGACAAGAGCTATCTTGAGCCCCAGCCCTGATAAGAGCCCTGGGGACACAGGCATGAGCAGGAACATGCACTTACCCTCCAGGAGCTTCAGGACAATTGCAATTCAGGTGCTGACTGGAGGGGGGCTTTAAGAGCACGGAGCGTGCCCTAAACCAGTCTAGAGGGAATCAGGGATGGTGTGAACTTTCGAGGTTGGTTTCCACCGACGTCAACAGGGAGGCAAGAGAAGAGAGAAGATGGGTAAATGAAGAGGGAGAATCACTGGGAAGATAGAAGGACATGACTTGGATGGAGACAGGGGCAAGAAGCCTCTCTGAGCAGAGGCAGAGTCCTCTGTTGAGGTGGTGTTCCTGGGTAAGGGAACAGCTGGACCGAAGGCTCTGGAGCAGAAAGGGGCATAGCCCATCACCTGGAGGGACTGACAGCCTGACCGTGTAGCTGCAACACAAAGCGGGGAGGCATAAAGGTGGTATGCCTAAGCCGAGCTGGGGGGGAGGGGTTAGTCCCCACGTGGTCTCCATCAGCCCCCTTCTCAAGCTGCCCTGAGTGACCCCTCCACCCAGACTGCTGCCCCTGAGCCCCTACTACAGAAATTCTGGAACATTCTCGGGGGGTGGGTGTTTGTGGAGATGAGGCTGACCTGGCAGGCTTTCTAGACCTTGTCAAGTAATTGGGGTTATAGCCTGAGAGTAACAGGGTAGCTGAAGTCATCAAATTTGCATTTTTAGGAGTTCCTCTGGATGCCTTATAGAGAAGGGATTGGTGGGGCCTGAGTGAACAAAGGGAGGAGAGTTGGGGGACTGTTCTAGAGGTCCAGCCAGGTGGCTTGGGCTAAGTTGGTGCCAGTGGAGATGGAGAAAAGTAACAAGCTTCAATTTAATCCTTGTTTGTTAATGCCTTCACTTCCCCAGCCCATATTTTCAGCTCTTCTCTGACCATCTAGGCAGATTTGGATTCTATTCCAAATCCCGCTCATTTATTTGAGCCAAAAGAGACGTGTTCTGCTCCCCACCAAGCTCTGGCCACACAATGCAGTTGTAACAAAGGGCTCCTATGTAAAGCTAGAACCCCTCCCTCTTTAAAAAAAAATACTTTTCAAAATGAAGTCAACAAATATGCTAACGACTTCACATTGCAAAATTTTTATTGATTTCCTAAGAATAAATACAAAGCTCAGAAAAGCTTTTAAGCTGGCATATCAAGAAATGCACAGTACCATCAAACAAGATGCTTGCAAAGGCAGAAAAAAACCCACTAACATGTGAGTAATCCTCTTACGCTGCAGTGGTGAGAAGGGGAAAAGGGGAAAAGCATTCATGTAAGCTTTTCTTGTCTACTTAGCCTTAGCTTTGAAACAGTAATTTTACTCATTCAACTATAGCATGAGATCAAAGCTTGGGGGTTGCTTGATGGAGTAGGTCGGATTTTCTGGCATAGATTCAGTTTTCTTTACAGGATGGTTCTTCTGCATGCATGCATTCTTTTAGGAACTATTGAACAGTGGTGTCACTGTGCAATTTATGTGTGTATGTGTACCTTTCTCCCTGGCCTTTTTTCTCCCTCTGTTTCTGGATGGCATTGAGCAAATCCTTCATCATAACAAAGCATCACTTCCTCCACTGGTCAAGCACCATCTTTGTTATCCTTGCCCCAACCTCTCTGGGGGCATTACGAGGATTGTGTGCAGATGTTTAATCTATCTTTAAAACCATACTCCAAGTTTGCTGACAAAGAACAGAAAGCCAGGAGGCAATTACTCATTCAGTGTTTACTTTTACTCCAAGGATCCCACTTTCTAGTGTCATCTATGTATTTTCAGATGAAACAGTGAGGCTTAACAGCCATTGAGATTGCCCCCATCTCTAGCACATGGCCTCGTCTAGGCTTCACCAACTTCAAGAATGGAGAGACCTCAAGAGGTCTCCAGTCTCAAACCGCTCCAACAAAAAAGGCCACCCCTATACAGCCTCAGGCAGAGTCAGGAGTACAGTGGTTAAGAACTTGGACTCTGGGCTCAACCAGACCAGCTCTTCCATTCCATCTAGCTGTGTGACTTTGGGCATGTCACTTAACCTCTCTGAGCCTCAATGATCTAATGTGAAAGATGTGGGCAAGTAATGGTACCTACTTCATAGGATGGTTGTGAAGATCAAATTTGGTAAAATTATAAAAAATAGAGTCCTTCATACAGTAGCAATTAAATTTTATATAGAAAGAATTGCCATTTTCTTTGGTAAATAAATGTTTTGCCCCTTCTTTTCTTATATGAAGTCCATCCTAAATCTCTCATGCTAAATTTTGCTAGTAATGAACTAATTTATATTTGATATTTGAACTTTATTTAAACTGAAGGGGACATGTTCTGGGAATCATGCTTTGTGACTATTTCAGACCATGGCCAAGAAGCCCTGCCCCAACTCTTTGCTCGTTCTCTTTTCTCATACTTCCTCTATGATTCTAATGATTTTCAGGCATGAACTGTTCAAAAGCCTTCCTCACTTAGCCCCAAATGTATTCTTGGCTCTAAAGCCCTCTCTGATACACTGGAACATTTAGAAATTTAAACATGAGCCGGAAATAGAAATGATTGAAAAATCATTGGTTTTATGAATACCCAAGTTGCTCCATTTCCCATTAAAAGAAAAAAATGTTCCGAGCAAGGTAAGCAAACACATACCTCAATGCGTTAGTAACTCTTGGTCCATTCTATAGAGACAGAACCAAGGATCTCATGGGGGTCACATAAAGACCAATTTCTAGTAATACATACTTTCTGTTATTTAATTACATTTTATTGATAATAATACACCTGCCTACATTATAAAAAGTGAAAAGAAAAAGAATCCTATTTCAATCTCTTAAATACTACTTCTATCTTTTAAAAATTATCACTTTAAAATGCAGCACCATGATCGTATTTCTCCCTCAGGTTTATCACATTTCCAGAAACACATGGTTCAAAATGGAGACGAGAATGATCAAGAATGTATGTGCCCCTGCAGTGGTGCTTGGGGAACGGATTGTTATCGTAGGAGGTGAGTTTGAACAGAGGATCGCTAGGCTGGACACAAACTTGGCATCTCCCATGGAAAAAGGGTCACTAATAGACAGATGTTGTTCTACAAAACAGTGTTTTTAAGAGCACATCCATCCAACTAGGGGAGTGTGGATGACTTGACAAAGTTCTTTTCTCATCCAGAAGTTTCTCCCTGTCTTCATCTGTAAACAAGGAATGAAATAATACCTATTTCACGGAATTGTTGTGATAATAAAATGTGCTCGCATATCGAAAGCACTTAGCACTATCCCAGATACCTGGCAAAGACTCAAAAAATGTTTGCTACTGTTAATAATATTAGTCACTAATGGATCATTTCTCTGCGATTGCAGTATAGTGTCTTGGTTAAGAGGACTGATTTTAGGGTCAAACCTGGGTTCAAATCCTGACTCTGTCACTGGCTGTATACTCTTTGGCGAGTTATGAATCTTTTTCTGTGCCTCTGTTTGCACATCTGTAAAACGGGGATCCTGAAAGTGGGAAGTGGTGGGGACCAGATAAGGCCGTTGTGGGAACGGTTCCTGAATTCCCAAGGCTCCTTTGCTGGACTGTTAAGGCTCTTGGGGGGAGAGGGGCATGTGAGAGAGATGAAAAAGCCAATGAGACAGAGAAAGCTGCTAGAATCCAGAGGCTTCTCCCAATCTAATGCTGCCTTAACTTGAGGTTAAGGATTCAGGGGCCAGAATCAGACAGATCTGAGTCTAAACCCCAGCTCTGCCACACACTGGACCTTGGGCAGGTTACCAAAACATTCTACACCTCAGTTCAGAGTCCAGCCTTTGTACTGGGCAATGGCAAAGATCAGACATGTTTCCAGACTGCAGACTTCCAGTCCCAAATGAGCAATGCTGAGCTTGCTGGTATGCCATTGGTTTTCAGGTTACACAAGGAGGATTCTTGCTTATGACCCTCAGTCCAACAAATTTGTCAAGTGTGCGGACATGAAAGACCGGAGGATGCACCACGGGGCCACGGTGATGGGGAACAAGCTCTATGTGACGGGCGGGCGGCGGCTGACCACGGACTGCAGCATCGAGGACTTGGCCTCCTTTGACTGCTACGACCCCGAGACAGACACCTGGACATCCCAGGGACAGCTGCCTCACAAACTCTTTGACCACGCCTTCCTCACTCTCCAGTGCATACCCCACACCCCCACCTTCCCATGAAGTTGTCGAGAAACCATGGGTCTTAGTCAAGATGCTTTCTGTTGTAAGAGATAGAAACCCAACTCAAAGGAGCGTAACCCCAAAAGGATGCAGGGAGTGCCCACAGGACCAAAAGTTCCAGAGCCTGGAGGCCTGGAACCAGGCATATTGTTGACAGAACGCCCTGTATCTCTCTGGCTCTCCACACTTCCACCCTGTCTCCCTCTGTCTCTCCCCTCCTCCCCCCACTTACCCTCCTTCTCTACCTCATCTCTGTTAGACTTCATGCTACAAACAAGCTTCTTTATCCACAAAGTATGAAGACAATGGCAACTGATAAACTCAGACTCAATGTTTTCTGAAGTTGCATCTTCAAGACAGAACTTCACCATTATCTATATATTAACCCTGAAAATAATCCTAATTGGCCGTTTCTTAATTCCATGCCTTCCTCTTGAGCCAATCACTATTTCCAGGGCTTGAGCTACTACAACTGTGTAATCCCGGAGCACGTCCCTACAGGAAGAGGTCAGGTTGACTATTATCATTGACAGCGCATCCAAACTGCACATCATGAGATAGAAGCAGTTTCCCAAAGAAAAGAACTGCTGGACTGACCAAAACCACATCTGCCCAGGGCATCGTGGAAATCCAGAACAAAAGGCGTCCCTGGAAGCACAGGGCCCAGGTGTCAGTGTGAGAAATTGGCCATGACCGTTTTCTTTGCCTTCTATGGATGTAGTGAATTGGAATTCCAGGATAATGTGTGCAATGCAGTATCTAGTGTTTGCAAAATTATCTATGCAGCCAGAATAAAGTTTGTTTCTTGTGCCAAATGATGTTTTTCTCCAGCCTCTGGGGAGCTATAAACCTGCAGAATTAATCAGGATTTTCATTTTGGTAAATGTTATGAGAATCATTCTTCTGAGGAAAGCCAACAAATTCCTTCAGAGATCCCAGCAATTATTGCCCTCTCCATGCCAGAGCTGAATACCCCCACAGCCCTCTTGGTCTCAAAGTGCCTCCCAAGCTGGCTCAGTCCCACGCTCAGGAATAAACGGAAGATGGTGGCACATTATAATCACCTGGCAGTCTTCTCTCCAGCAATGGAAGCATCTAGAATGAGTCTCACAACCCTGAGCCTGGCACCAGAGTGCCCTCAAGCTGGAGCCTTCCTCGCCACCCAGCTCTCCAGGTTCATGTTCTGGACTTTTCCTTTCTTCCCAATTTATATTCTTTGCACTTCAGTTTCTCCTGCTGGGGTCCAAAGCTCTGCCCTGCTCCCCAGACCATGTGGCTATGGTCTAGACACCCTGCCCAGATTGTCAGCCCCTGCTCCTCATCCTGGATGCTGTCACCTCAGCGGTTGGCTGGCCTCTTACTACAACCTATTCTCTTTGAACCTCTCTGTTCAGGCTCTCGAGCCCACCTCTCCCTGCAATAGGTAACCAGTGACACCTCCAGTGCCTAAAACGCAGTGCATTTTGATTTCTCAGCTGACTCGACCAGTCAGCAGCCTACCACACAGATGACCCTCCCTCCATCTTGAAAGGCCTTCCTCACTCTGCTTCTGGGATACCGCTCACCCTCTCTTCCTACTCCCTGCACTTCATTCTTGTCTCTTTCTTTCCCAACTAGTAAATGGTGGTGCCCACCACCCCCTCCAGGGCTCAGCCCTTAGGTCTTTTGTGCATCTGGGGTGGGGGTTGTGGAGAGCAAGCCCCCTCGTGCATGGCTTTTCCTTCCTGCCGCGCTGCCGACTCCCCACTGTTCTCCACTTCCAGACTCCACTGCTCGCTCCATGTTTCCAAGTGGATGTCAAATACCTCAAAGTCGACATGTTCCCGGTCACTTTTTCCTCACCAAACCGACTCCTCCCGTAGTAGGCTTCCCCAGCCTGGCAGAGGGAAACACCTGTATCCCACCTTCTTGGGCCCGAAGCCTTGGACGCCGCCGCTCTTGGCTCTTCTCCCTCACCACCCACTCGGTTCGGTTAGGGCGGGCCCCCCCCAGTCGCCCCCCCCCCCCCCGCCAGCCGCCCCCCCAGCCGCGGCTCTTACTCTGGTCCAAACTGCCATCATGCATCATCTGCACCCATCTCGGCTTCCACCACGAATCGCCCCCAGATCTCTCTCCACCCAGCGGCTTGGGGCGTCTTTCACAAACATATAAGTCAGAAGAGGTCACTCCCCTGTTGAAAACTCTCCAGAGCTTATACTGGAATTAAAGTAAAAAAAAGTAGGGGCACCTGGGTGGCTCAGTCGTTAAGCATCTGCCTTTGGCTCAAATCATGATCCCAGCGTCATGAGATCGAGCCCCGTGCTGGGCTCCCTGCTTCGCGGGAAGCCTGCTTCTCCCTCTCCCCACGCCCCCTGCTTGTGTTCCCTCTCTCGCTGTGTCTCTCTCTGTCAAATAAATAAATAAAATTTTAAAAAATAATAATAAAGTAAAAAAAGGTAATAAAACATTTTTTTAATTAAAAAAAAAAAAAAACCCTCTCCAAAGCCTTCCCAGCTTTCTCCGATGCCTTCCAGAGACCTGCAAGATTGCTCCCCCCCTCACGCTGTTCCCCTTCTGCTCTCACCTCCCAATGAGTCCCCCCACCCAGCGTCGGCCACACTGGCCTCTGGGCTCGCACATCTGTGTCACACGCACCGTGCCCTGTACTGCAACGCGCTTGGCCCAGATGCCGCACCCGCGGGCTTCCCCCCTTCCCTCCCTCGGGTCTCTGCTCAGAGATGCCACTCCTCACTGCGTCCATGTCAGGGACCGCAGACACCTCGGTCCCCCCGTCTTCACTGCGCTGTCATCACTGGCCAGCCTCCTAAGTGGCCCTTGCTGCTTCTACTCCTGCCCACCTCTGATCCTTCCTTGAACAACAGCCAGGCTAATCTTTTTAAAACACAGCCCTGCTCATATTCCTCTCCTGCTTAAAATGACTTTACAGCTTCCCAGAGACCTTTGCATAGAGCCCCCAATCCCTTCTCCAGCCCCCAGGGCCTTTGCCACCAGCAGCCGCCTGTCTGTGGCCCTGCCTTTTCTGCTCCCCTCTCCATCTCAAACTCCCACGTCACTGTGGATAGTCCCTGCTGTAAGCACCTCAGATCCTCTGCTCAGGGATCCCTGTGTCCTTCTCCCCTTCCCCTTTCCCACCCTGGGGAAGAAGTAGTATGGCCCACCGAGGTCAAGCCTGGAGGGTGAGAGCTTATCCCAGAGGGTCCCATTTGCCTGGAATTGGAAGTGGGAGTCTTGCCATCCATAAACTCCTTCTGCGGCCTCCAAAATTCCTTCTGTCAGAGACTTGCTAATGTCTCCACTTTCCTTCCCCTTCGTCTAAATCCAAAATGTAATAAGCCGCCCGAGTCTGTGGCTACTCGGAGCTTGTCCAAGTCTCGCTGGGGCACAGAAGAACTAAGTAAACTGTCCCCTTGAGTTTATGAAGATGGCACCGGGGCCGGACACATTCGGACACACATGGCGGGCCAGCTTCGTGCGTCAGGTAAGACACCGTGGCAGGTGCATTCACATACCTGGGCATCCGCCCGGCCAAACCCCATATCTGAACTGGGTTGCAAAACGCCCCTCGGGCCATAACGGGTGCTTTCCAATCTGCTGAGGATAATCTCAGTCCAAAAAGAAAGAGAGAGAAGGTTTTGGCACGAGGCTTCCTTCATCTCTTCATCTCACTGTTTGAGTAGAGAACCAGTCCAGAGCTGAGGTCAAAGTATATTTAGCCGGCAGCGGTTAAACTGAAACATTTTAAGTAAAAAATGTCAGATAGCCTGACTGATCATCTCAACAGGCAACAAGGGAAGGGGCAAAAATGAAGTGGAGTAAGAGCTAAGCAAGAAAACACTAACAAAAACGTCAAACACACTGTCCCAACATAAACCAGTGAGCAGGAGAGGAGCCAGAAGAGAAAACAGCGTCCGCAAGAAGAAAGTGGCTGAATTTACCTTCGCCGCCTATAACAAAAATCTGCAGGGTCCCAGAGGACAAGGACTGTGACGGGTCTTACTCTTTGTCCTTCTCAGGATGTCTGACTGACACAACCCTGCCTCACTCCAACACGCTATTCCCTCGGCCATGATGCCTTTCCCTGCCCTGCCTACTGAACTCTTACTCGGCCTTCACCTCTTCCGTGGAGCCTTCTCCAACCTTTCTACACCCTGCCCCCTCCCTCCCTTTGTTCCAACTCCTTCCACTTTGTAGCACTGTAGAGACTTGTTACCGGAACTGGAAGGGGAGCTCTTCATGGGAGCCCACAGAGTCTTGGTCCCTATGAACCTCTAGGCCAAGTTCAGTCAGTACTTGGCACACAGACGGTGCTGACCCGTTTGCAGGATGAATGAGCAGATACACAAGTGAATGGGCCCTAAACATCGCTGGAGCATATGGGCTGCTCTGGGTGCAAAGAAGAGCTTCATTATCAGACAAACTGTCATTCTTTACCTTCGAGCTCCATCACCCCAGAATCTGCCTCCAGGATCACATGGCCTTCTTCCAAGTGTGTCCTCTTCTGTCTCTTCTTGGACTTAGGGCCCACCCTAAACTAGCAGGATCTCGTCTTGATCCTCACCTTAATTACATCTTGAAAGACCCTATTTCCAAATAAGGTCACAGTCTGGGATCCAGGTGGCCATGCATTTGTGGGGAGGCATTATTCGGCCCATCGCAGATGCCATCTCCCACAGGAAGGCACCCCCCCCCCCGCCCCAGGCGGAGCCACATGGCACGGACTCCTCCTCCTCTCCCCATTTCATCAGGGCATCTCCTGGGCGGGGACTGTGTCTTTCATCTCTGTGTCCCCACTCCAGCCCCGCAGGGCCTGGCACTGCAAAGATACTCAGTAAATGTGCACTAAACTCAACTCAACCATTTCTCAGGGGCTAGCAAACATCTAATGGACCCCAAGGCCTATGTATACAAGACACAGCTTCCGAGCAGCTTCCCAAGAGGCCAGGGTGAGCAATATCCGCCAAATGCCCATCAAGAAGGAATTAGGGTCAGGCATAAGAAATTATGCAAGAGAACTAATCTGTTAACACAATGTCACCGGTTATGTCCTATTCTTGATCTTGCCAACATAAGCCTTTGGGGTGACGTCATGAGAGTGAATCCAATGCTGAGGATTCTGGGGGGGAAGGGAGTCTGGCTTCTG